AAGCAAGTTTTGAAAGGAAGTTAGGCTTTTATATAATGTAAGTTTCAAGAATAATATGGAAATGTCAAATGACTTGACGTACCCCAGTTGAGATCAGGAGCTCGGGTTGTGTTGAAGCCCGATTTGACAGAATGTTGAGAGAAAACTCAGCATATCTGAGCTCTTTTACTGTTCGTTCACTAAGCAGAGCGGCAGTGAATGGTGGCAGCCTTGCACTGAAGTCTTCGCGACCATAGAACTGAAATAGCAGCAATGCATAAAATCCAGAGCCCAAACGCAATATCATACCTTTCTTGTGAACCTTCCAAAATACTGGTCCGGATCAATTTGTTGGCGCTCCGCACCTCGTTCTCTTCGTTCTTGCTGCTTGTTGGGGACCAACCAATGTTTGAGACAGTCTTCTCGAAGTATACCCTACAACAAACTGATTCTTCAAAAACGGACTCGAAATAGGCGGTATCCGGTTTGGAAGGGGCATTTTGCACACTCACACAAAAGTCAACCTGAACGGTATTTACTGGAAAACAGTGGTTATTCCCAGCAAGCCGAATGCGCCCTCGAACACTTTATAAGGTCAAATACCTGATCTTTGTCAATTAATGAGCTGTTTCTGGCAAAACTCAAATATTTCTGCAGATATGTCGATTGACGGACAGCTAACCTAGAATGAAGAACATCAGCTCGAACATTACAGAAATTTTACTGTGCTATAATTGGCTGACTATTGAATTAAATTGGCGTTTAACGATCATTACCTTTCGTTGTGCTCGACTAGGTAATTGAAAAAGTCCTCGTCACTTCGTAACGTCTCTAAGGGTACAACAGAAAGCACGTCTTTCGACGAAACAGCCTTCGCGAATTCGTCCATTTGCTCATTAACCCTGAAAAAAGCCAGTTATCTTTGTTTCCAGGAGGAAGATTCTGCGCTATGTGCCTCGGGAGGGGTCATTACCCAACTGGCATAAGCCACGTCATGACTCGTCTGCACCCGCTGGAGAAACCAAGACGTGATCCCTGTCGCGCCATAACCTCACGTGATCGAGTCTCTCTAGGGAAAGATTTTCCCATAGTATATAGCGTTGAAAATTCAATTTATCCGGATTGCGGAGCTGAGGACATCAAGGGGGGGAAAGAAAAAAAGAAAGGGGGGGAGGGAAGACTCACTTCTGCATTTTATGAACAGTTTGCCTACAAGACTAAAAATCGTAGCATGTGCTCATAGAGCATCAGGCATCAGGCGCTGGTCAACTTCTTTCGAAGGATACGCTTCGGACCCGACTCCCATTGGCAATTGCAAAGGAAACCTGGGTGCGATTACGATGCGAGACCTATGTCATGATTTCCGGGAGCCGGCGTTCCTATCCACCCAAAGTTCTGGTTTAGAGTAAACATCGGAGGGATCGACTCCGTGAATTCCACTTCATGAAAAAGAGAAATACAGTAGTCTCAACAAAAATTCAAGCATTTTTGAGTAAAATCTGTCGCTTGCGACTGCCAGTAGACCTTAGTAAAATCAGTGGCACTTTTCGGCTTTGAGAGGAGTGGGGAGGGAGGGTCCTTTTCGCGCTTTCGCTCTATCCTCTTGAATTAAATGCCTCATTATAGAGGTACCCCTAGCTTCTTTGTCATGAGTAACTGAAGCCCATACTGCTGTGTAGCTATAGCGAGCATAAATCATGACAGGAAACATCAGTGGTGATAGATGGAACCTCAGCAAAACGCCCTCCACCAAACCGAATTGCGCCAGATCATTTAATCTGATTCAGACTGAAATGACGTACCGTTTCAAATAATCCCGCACAGCATCAGAGTAATTTTTTCGCAAACCTTTACAAATTATATACCTGGAATAAGAAAATCATCAATGGAAGAAAAAAAAAGAGAAAGCAACCGAACCTCTCTGAATTCGCCGGACGACTCGTATGAGGTTTGTGCAGTGAAATTTGATCATATGCGACATACATCAAGTATACCAAACCCGCGCTAAAACAGTTTCACCTACAGATGCTTTCTCAATAATCCGAAAAGCGGAGGCTCATCAGCATTCGAGCCCCTTCTCTGGAGTTCCCTGTCTTTCGAAACGCTACGAGGAGTAGTCATAAATGAGAATGACGTAATGTTCATGAGCTTTGACTGTTTCGTCGCCCATCCGATCATCACGGAATAGAATTGCCAAGGACGCAAACGCCGCAACGTCTGCGGCGCCCGGTCGATACGGTCGCCATGCTCTCAGAGAGAGCAGACCAAACGAACAGAACATGGAATCAATTCAAAATGCTCACCTGAATGGAGTGAATATGTCAAAAAGTTTGCAGAAGAATACTCCTCCTTCACGGACAATACAAAGAGAAACCAATAATTGACACAGATAAATACGTTTCGACAAAATCTCCTGAATCGAAGGTTCAGTAAGGGAATTCCTTCTTTTGATTCAAAGCCATGGGGGGATTCCATTAGTGAACCCTGGCTCACTTTCACCTCACATGTATTCTTCAGTTTCTCAGAGGTATTTTAATTACCGCTCCTTGACTAGTTCTGTTTCTCTTTGGTCGTGATGAATTCATTTTGGAACGTAATAAAATTTGTCAACTGTGCCTTTTCCTTTCTCAGGTAGGGCGGCTCAGAGAGCGCGTTCATACTTCGTGATCCTGCGAGGGCAACCGGAGAGCCAGTGACTTGCAACCGGTTGACTTTGTCGTTTTTGACGCGCTTGGCGTACAGTGGCGCAATCTAAGCAATCGCATCGCTCATGCGAACAGATCGCGAAGTTTGCGCCCTTCAAGAGTACCACACCAGGCGACCAAGCGGGCGGGCTATTATCTCGCTGCACAACCTTCCCTAACCCCAGAAGGGCCCTTTATTTTCCATACCTTTTCTTCTACAACTGTCTTACCTACTTTTACAAACTTCTCCACATCCTTTTGAACCTTTTCTCCACAATTTCTTTACCTTTTTTCACCTTGACAAAGAAATTCTACCTCTGAAGTTCCAATAAAAAGTTCAGTACCTGAATATTTTCTTGTCCTTCGACACTGAAGCCACCATCAGCCATCATGAGATCAACACCGACATCGTTAGTTCCTTAAGAAGTAGTAAATTTCAACAAAAGAACAAAAAAGAAGTAAGTTAGCTCTATACCTTTCATAATGAACTCTTCTAGAGAATTTATATTAGCTGGTTTTGTTACATCACCGTCACCTTCTTTCCCGTAATATGGCTCAAAGTAATGAGCGGAGGAGGCAGTGAACTTGCCAAGTTTGAAGTCGTCCTTCCCTTCATGGAAACTTCACATAACACAAGTTAATCAACTTCAGTAAATATTTTGATGGAGTGTTATGAAGCGACTCACCTTTGAGTGTGAACCCAAAGCCCTTCACATTGTAGAAAGCCTTTCGCCATAGCATATATTCGGAAAAGCCACCTGGACCAGCGCACACATCGGCAAAATAGAAAAGAGGTGCCTCTCGATCACAATTATTGTTGGGTCGGTCTGACTTGAGGGGATTTTTGCTCTGAAAATAATATGAATGAGCGATCGTTGAGCAAAATTTCAACGTCCTAGAAGCTTCCATGGACTCATCCGTAAACACTGCAAAGCAGAATACGAGTAAACTCGCTGCAGATTGTTACCCATGCTCAACAGTCACAAAACCAGAAAGTGACGATATTGGTGATAATATACTCTACATCCTGGAAGTTGGAGGGGCGTGGCCGGGCACTTTATTTGAGCGCGGCTGAAACTTTGCTTTTGCTGAGATATACCGTTTTGATACAATTTTAATGACGCCTTTGTAAAGATAGGATGCTTGTCGAATCGGTAATATCCCACGAAAAACGCATCCGACGTCCATGCTCAACAGGGGTACGAAGCCACACCCACTCCCATCTTCAGGCATAGATCGTAATGATTAGCAATCAGCTGTAGCGGTCATGGAAACAGCGATAATGAAATTAATACGTACCAGAAGTTTTTCCTCGGTTTCCCCGCTGAACAGAAAATTAAAAGTCCGATCTAGATTCGCTACTTTCATAGCGGCTCGATTTTGGAAAAATGCAGCTCCGATCGTTTCATACGGATTCGCTCGAGCTCGCGCTTCTCGAAGATCTCTGTCCGGAACCACATCGAACACCTAAAAAAATAGAAGATGGAAGGAAACTCAGACCAAAACTACCAACAGCAACTTACATTTTTTGACTTAAGCATATTCCTCAGGATCTCACCATCGCAAAAATTTGTTTCGTCGTCAATATTTAACTTCTTCTGAAGAAAAGAGTTCAGCGAGAGTTATCAATAATTTGTCGACCTTGGCGGATTACAATCGCTTGAAAGATTCACGTAACAGTTTCGAATCCCATATTTGAAATCACAAGGTCCTAGGGTCATTTCAATACCCTTTGCTTGCGAGCGATGAGAAAACAACCGCAAAAGGAAAAAGGAAGGGCATAGTTTCGCAGGGAGGGGAGGCGGGAGGTGTAGGTGAGAGTGGACATTTTGAACTTCAGCTGTTCCATTTGCTGAGTCGAGCCTCCAGGTAAAGGCTAGAGGCTTATGAAATCTTGTGAAGCCATTAATTGCTTCCAATCAAACTTCGTAGAAACTAGCGGTCAGCTTTTGTAAAGCAATGAATGCGACAATGAGAAGCAGCGAAGCACAAAATTCCCACTCCTCCCTCCCCTAGCCGAGCTGCGCCAAAGAAGAGTGAATTATCTTACAGCGGAGGTAAATTCATAGAAGTTTTATCAGTACCAAAAAAGAAAACCACGAATAAAGATGGCGTCAAGAATTCCATACCGAAATTCACCCAAAAATAATGTCTTCAGAGAACGGAAGCCCTGATGAGCTTGAAGCCTTTTATGAGATCCTTCAGGCGACTACGTGATGCTGAGCTGGTTATGGAAGGATGTATTTGCACAATAAGGATCAGCTTACCTCCCCTATTTGAATCCATTCAGAACCTTCAAGATAGTCCACAACCCAATCACGCGTACTCTCAGGGCATTCAGCCATCCAACGCACTTGTTCTTCGATAGTTTTGTCTTCTTTGGATTCATCCCAGGTTTCCAGAAAGTCCCGTCCAACTGCCTAAATATAGAAGAAAGGATCACCGATAATTACCAGCGGTTACACCGCAGACTCGGAAAGCTGACCTTGTTCATTTCATGACCAAGACCAACGCGACCACGTTGAGTAGACAAAGCGACCGGTTCCACCACTCCTAAATGAATGCTGAGCACATAAAGGATAGAGGCACATTAGATGTAACCGAAACAGATTAAACCGCGCTTTTCATGAATTATCCATACCTTGCTTCGCTTTACCGAGACCTTTTCCCTCTTTGTAACCCATTTTTGCCATCATTCGTTCCGCATTTGACATCGGTTTCAACTCAGTGGCGACGACTTTTGCCGGTGGAGCCTCTAGCTCATCCGAAGAAGAGTCCGATAGATCACCCTCAGCGGAGTCATTCTCGAGCTTTCGCTTCCCCTTTAATAAATGGTTAAAGAAGAAGAGAAGACAAGCATCGACTACAAAAACAACAGCAAAGTGACCACATCTCTTATGCCGTTTAGTAGCGGGCGGGCTCAATCACTGATACAATTCAGTTGAAAGGAAAGAACTGAAAGTTGAGCGCAGGTGTAGCACAGGTCTGTGACCTTCAGAATGCGTTCGTACTTTGCGACAGTGTTTTGAGCGACTAAGAAAGTATAGATATTGATTGTAGCTAAAACGCTGGTGAACGCTCAAAACACTTACGCTCAAAGCGATGACTATCCTGATGGCGCAGAACTCCCGGAACGCTCAAAACGCGGACAGGTGCTCAAAACGCCGCCGCAAAGTATGAACGCATTCTTAAGAGCAACGACGTTCCATCCCACACGTCACTGAGTGATGAGGAGAGATGCATTTTACATTGCCGCTGACGTTACAAGACAATTTATTGAAAGCACGGTCAGTGATAAACTATGGATACAAGCCGTTAATTGTAAGGTAAGGTGGAGATAGTATGGTGATAAGTGGCTCACCACGCGCGCGATCCGCAGATCGAATCCCGTATCGTCTCCCACCCAGATGAACCAGGCCGTTTACCATCCGAGGACGGGAGAATTGGGTGGAAATTCGTTTTGAGAATATGAACATTGACACCACATCATATTCGATAGGCTACAACGATTTGGAATGGAAGTTGGATGCCTGCTAGTTCTCAAAAAGGGGTTGACGAACGGCAAAATCGGATTATTTTTCAATGGTAACAGCTAACCCGGTATCGCAGAGGGATCACTACATCATAAACATGAAGTGTGGGAAAGTGAGAAAGAGGCATGAATTTGGACCTATGCTTACTAAACAGGCCCATGCCGACCTACGCTATCCCTGGCCCTTTCTAGTCTTGCAATTCGTCTTGCAGTTCGCGACCTCCAAGACGAACTGCAAGACTGCAAGAAGAAGGCCCTTATTGAGAGCACTTTGACTGTTTTCTTTCAGTAGAATTGTTAAGCAATGCGCTTTTTGCTTCTTTGAACCTACAAACTGCAATACGGAAAGTGCCTTTAAATTGTTTTGTGACGTCAATGACACGTTATCTATCTCCTAGTAAGTAACGTACGGGACCAAGTACTGCATTAAGCGAGAAATATGAAGTGTTCAGTAAATCGCCAAGCGTTTAATATGACAGTAAACAAAAAAGTTCGCTGAGCCACGATACGATACAGCAATCAATCAGTCACAAGGGGAACCAAAATCCGGTCAATTGCCGATTATAACAACTATGAAATTGTAGAAAACACAAAAGAGAATGGGCAAGTTGGCCGAACTAACGCTATAGAGAGGCGCCGCATCATAGATAAACAGAACAAGAACTGAAACGACCTTTATATGGGTCATTACGTCCTGCATCAAATGTCTCCCTTAAGTCTCATGTCTTCGTATCTGGCCGAGCCAGGCGCAGATCAACTTTTGATCTCTAGTCGCCTGATTGAGCATCCGTTATCGGGGAATCCTGCATTAACGCATTCATTGTTGGCTATACCAGAGGACTCAGATGACATATAACATTATAAAACCAACTACAAGTAGTAAATACAGTGTGAAGTGACACTTACAGAAGATTCCGCAAACATGGTTGCTTCTTGTCAATGTACGCAATCACCGAAAGATACGATGGACAACCTAAAACCACCAAAATGTAGGAATGTAGGTAACATATACACTAGTTCGCTGCAGATGAAGACGACGTGTCAGGCAGTATGAATGTGCCACGGCGCCATATCCATTCACTGCCAGCTGTGAGCGGGTATACGACAACAACAATTGGTAGAAAACGAGTTACACGGAGGGTTATGCATAAAGCATCCTTCGTCACTTACTGCACACATAACGATGGCAGTACGGGTTTGGCACGCGCCAACGCGCATGCGCCTCACCACGGCCCCTTCGTTCCGTAGCGCGCAACTAGACGACACGACGGTAGGCTCACATTAGCGCACTAGACTAAAGTTACATAGAGTCCAACTGAAGGCACGCTCCGCGTTCATTGGTATTCAGCCCCTTCCTTGAACATTGTAATCGTGTCCTCAAGCATGGGAGATACTGCAGTCATCACGTCAGGCCAAAAAATATGAAGGAAAGCGCCTGACTCGCTCGCACGCAAAGCTATCCACCCCGCCGGCCTGGCCGCTTGCAACGCCCAACAATTTTCATCTTTCGGTACCCTGCTGATGCGTTGTTCCGCTACTGACTCTCTCCAGGCTATGCTGAGAGCGAGATCGTAAAGAGATAGAGCAGAAACCAACAGGTGAAAGCTCGTCCAACCACGCCCTTTCTTCACCTTATGCACGTACAAATACAGCTCGGCATGGGGTCCTATAGGAAGTTATTCTAGGCGTTTTTTCTACTTTTCACTTCACTTTTGCCTACTCGCCATCTTGTCATTAGTAATTGAGTTGCACCATTTCGAACGAGGGGCGTGGCTTTGAGGCTTCATTCATTAGTTGGAGAATCCGAGAACTGCGGCATTTAGGAAGTGGGACAACTGGATAGTCAAGGAAAAGAAAAGCACATCCATCGATTGACTCCGCCCTTGTGGAGAATCGGAATCAATCGATTTTTATCTAATCTTTCGGCGGATTCTCCGACTCTCTGGTGTCTTAAGATAAGGAAGCGAGGCCTAAACGGTTATTTAGCGAGAGCAACAAGCCATGAAATGCAGCTGCTATCCACTAAACGGAAGCTGGTCTCCCACATAACTGCTCGGAGGGTTCTACACAGGATGCATTCAACAATATACACAGAGTATGCTAAAAAAGAGGCAACTGAAGCCTGAGCACAGGTAAAACATGCACAACGATTACATAAATAAAATAGCATTATGTGTAATGATTGAACTTGCGTATCGAGAGACATGATAGTACTTACTATAAGAAAAAAAACAATTTACAAAATCATTAGATGTAAGTTCTGTGAGGTTCAATAGATACATAAATATATACATGAACATATATGAATTTACAGGAAAAAACTTTGTGGAAACCCTTCGGACTTTCAGGGGACAATTGGAGAGCTCCAGATAGGGTTCTTTAGAACGAATAAAAGCTTCCGAAATCTCGAAAAAAAAAACTAGGAGGACTGCAACAACGAAATGCATTGCTTCCTAAGGGAAAACTAGTCAGAACTTCTTTTTCAAACGAAGAAAGAAAAAATAAGTAGTGTTAAGGCCTAGTCAGCGTAGTTGTATACGTGACTTCACGATTTTTACATAATTTTTTCATTACGGGCGTCGGGTAGCCCAGCCATTGTGCACTGCGGATGTACGCATTATTCCGTAATTTGTGATGAATGGACGAACTAATGCGTACTATTTTGCTCCACAGCATAATTGTCGCCTATTCATGAGATGAATTCCATCTTTTTTTTGGTTTATTACCCTCCCTTATGAGAACTGTTTACCGTTAGCTTGTAAGGGAACGCTCTAGCTGGGATGCTAATGTTCAGGGTATTTTTGGACATAATGTGCTATTGACCGTTCCGAAAAGAGCGCTATTATTTGTAGGTTTTCGAATGTCTAATATGTGCAACCTATCATAAATGTCTTTATAGAAATGGCAGACGCAGTACTTGTCGGGAATTTGCAAAACCAACTGGATCGCTTAATGAATCAATTATCTGATCTTGAGGAAGAAAGGTATGCTTTACGAAAAA